TTCTTTTTAATCACCTAATTTAAAGTTTTAGCGTAATTATTTTAATATTTAAGTTATCTGGGTTTGGCTTCAGTATCATTTTCACATGCCACATTTGTATTAGGTTTTGAGTGTTACTTTGTGTTTAACCCCACTTTCTATCCCAACAAAATGCTTCAGACTGACCTTAGATGTTCCTTGATCCATGCTTGGAATCAGCCTTTCATCAGAAAAAGAAAGAAATCACTGGTTTTTGTCTTCTCATGTCATTTTTCAAGGGGAAAAAAAAAAGATTTAAGTGTACCTTTGGCTACACTTATCACTGTACCCAGGCAAAGTTACAAATTTCAGACAGTGTGTAAGTTTATAGCTGATATCCCTACTGACTGTGAGATTCTTCCTCTTCTTCAGCATTCCATGTCCTTTGTTCACAATGACAACTCATTGCCAGCAGCATCCCTGGCCTATTCACTTGCTCAGTCCTAGAGAATATCTCAAATTGTTTCAGAATGGTTAATACCTGCCGAGTAAAGTTCAAGGTTTCTTTACAACACTACCTTTAGAATACAGAGGATAGACTGTTTTCTCATCCTTTTGATCCAATCCAATGTGTCAGGTCACTTCAACTGTAAATGCTTCCATATGACATAATCACAAAGCCATTACACACATAAAACATATATAAATTAAGAAGTGTTTTTTGGGCTGGGAAGGTGGCTCAGTGGTAGAGTGCTTGCCTTGCAATGCACGAGGCCCTGGGTTCAATTCGTCAGCACCACATAAGCAAAAAAAAAGCCGGAAGTCATGCTGTGGCTCAAGTGGTAGAGCGGCTAGCCTTGAGCTAAAGAGCTGAGGGGACAGAGCCCAGGCCCAGAGTTCAGGCCCCACGACTGGACCCCCCCCCAAAAAAACCACAAATAACAAGTGTTTTTTTTGTTGTTGGTGGTGGTGGAGATAGGGACTGGCCATGTGCTAAGAATACAGCAAATTTATAGTAATAACTTCCCACCCCAAAAAAAAAAACACAAGAAAATAGAAGTATTTAAGAAAATTCAGGAGGCTGCACAAAAGATATATCTGAGCTCAATATAAATTTAAACCTAAATCCACCCCAGAGAACATTCTTATCACGAAGGTGACATTTTAGAACTATGAAACACTTGAAGCTTGAAAAAGTAGAGCAAGCAGATGACAAGGAACACTGAAACATATCCCTACAGGTTTTTTTTTTTCAAGTTTTCTAGAAAAAGAAAAAATTTCAAGATTCACTCATGTCTTTAAGAATACAGAATTTGGGGACAAGAAGGAGAAGAAATGGTGTGAGAATTTTGTTTTCTTTACTGTCTTTGTGAAGCAGGTATTTAAACCATCTCATCAATGCATTGTATCTGTAGAATCAGATGTCAAATTGTATGTCATTTGACCTAATCATGGAGGGAGCGAGGGAAGTATATGTGAAAGACAGTGATAAGATACTGACTAATGTCTGTCACAACATGAAATGTTCACTTAACTGACACAAGACAGAATCAGATCCACAAAAGACATGTACATCTGATTGATAGCAAGAGTCGGAGAGCATTCAAGTACAATGAGAAACCTACAGCGATTGTTTCATTTCTTCTGTTGGTATGGGTTGGGGAGAGCTTACTTTTTAAATGGTCTTATTGAAACTATATAACTCACAGATATAACTCGCATAGAATATGATTCCTTCACTTAAAGTATAGACTTCAACATTTTCTTAGCATATTCACAGGATTATACAACCATCACCACAATCCAATTTTAGAACAATTTATCCTAAAAGAAACCCCATACCCATGAGCTGTCACTTCCCACTCTCTGTGTGATCCCAACCATAAGCAATCACTAACCTACTTTTCTCTGTAGATTTACCTGTCATATGTAATCATTGTTAGCTTGCCATTCGTGACCTATCCCACTGATGTTCTTTTTATTTTTTTTACATTATAAGAACAAGAAAAATGAGATAAAGTCCTCAAATACCTGAATGAGTATCTAAGAGATCATAGCAGGAACCCCAAAAGAGATATTACTAAATCCACTAGCAACTGATAGCTTAAGTAATTGCCAGTGAAATTTCAGGTAGGACAGATTGTATCATCACATACAAGAGTCAAATGCTAATAATTTTAAATCTGAACTTGAAGCATGTTTGGGTTGCAGAAAGCTCTGAGCTCACAAAAACAGCAATATTTCTGCAATAAAAGATACTAGTGAATTCAATTCCCGACTTCAGTACTCACTACCTCTGTGACCCTGAGCAAGTACAGAAGTAACTTCATAAAGTTAGCATGGAGTTTACACATGCAGTGCTTTTAGAACTAAGTTTGACACATAAATGCTTAATAAGTGTCAACCATTGTTTTTATCACTTTTACTCATAAAACTCAATAATTTATGTCAAATTCCAAAACAGCTTACCCCCATGCCACACATGATTGGTGTTTTCAAAGTCTCTATTCAAAGCTTTCTGCCATGAAATCAAGAAGTGGAGATTGAAGATGCTGTAATATAGAAAAAACAATAGTATGAATCAAGTATGATTAAGAATAGAACAAGAAGCCAAAAGTGCTAATTTATTATTCTCACCTAGTGTTCATGTCACAGACTTTCCCTTCCTACATTAAAAAAATTACAGCAGCAAAAGTTTAATATTTTAAAAAAAATTAAAAAATATTTTTAAAAAGTTTAATATTACATGTGTAATAAAAATATACTATTAGCACATTAGAAAACACATAGAAGCCTTTACAGCTCAAATATTTAAGACTTTAAGTGTGTGACTTGTAAATTTATGTGAAATGATGTTGTGATTTGGCTTTGTGTCCATAAATATCAGCAAGTGTAACCAAAATGGCTTTTGCTAATAAGACTATGCTAGATCATTTTATTTCTGACCTATAATTATGTATTATCTGTCCTTTATAAATAAAGTATCCTTTATAAATAAAAGGTGTTCAGTATTATGTCCCCAATCAGATGACTAATGATACATAACATCTCCAAACTTTGGAAGTATTAGTACTGAGCACATTCCTTGCTTTGAGACATAAAAAAAGTGATCAGAGACAACACCGGTTCATTTTCCTCTGACCCTTGAGACAATTGAAATGATGCCCATTGCATGCAGCCCCATAAGTCTCCACCTAATCCATCTGTGTGTATGTTTTCCCACCAGGCTTTTCTCCTCTTGGCATTGTTGTTTTGTACTTGCATGAAAATCCATAATTTTTTGCATGAGGTCATCTGTAATGTTGAAGATAAATGTCTAACATACCTTACAAATATCACATGCCATTAATTCTTACATGGTATTTTTCTTTTATTTTTCAGTTACTGAAACTTAAATATGCTTCCAATGTAAAAGTAGCATGAAACTGGAGTGCTGCAAAAAATACTTAATGTTCCTTTAAGGATGATTATTTTTAAGTAGGACAATTTAAGGATAGTTCCCAGCCATTTTTCTGGAGGTCAATCTGAAGTTACAAACGATGATGAAACTATGTTGAACTGTGCTGTCAGCAGAGGCATAAATCCTGAATTGGTACTTCTTTTTCCCCTGAAAATATATTTTTCATATGAAACAGACGATGTGTCCACTGCAGTCATAAAATATTAGATTTATTCTTTTTTATATCTTCTAATTAAAGTCCACTAAGTTGAAGTGGCAGTTCCTAACTTTCTGAATGACAGCATTAACACATATTATTTTAATATTTCCTAAATGTAGAAGTTTTTTGTGCCATCTAATTGGACTTCAAATCCATCAGGACATTGGACTAAGTCCCAACACAGGCAGTCAACAAACACTCCTTCCAAGTAGTCACCTTGCTGGCTCTACATTAATTCCTACCAGCTGCCATTACTAAAAGGTTTTTTTTTTTAAGAATACCCCTTTTACAAATTATATTTACAACTTAGGCACACTGACTTTAAAATGTATGGATACTACATCTTGTTCCTCAGGGAATTATTTTAAATTTTTCCAATAACTCTCAGCCAAATGATGATAGTAATCAAGTTTGCAAAACATTTTTAAATAATGAATATGAAATTAATAAGATTTGTATGGTCTATATAACTTGTTAAATGACTATGAACCCACAAAACATTCACATAATAACAGTAATAGGAAAATAAATGAAATTTTCCTAAGGTAAGGTATTCTAGATAAGCCACATGATATCAATGATTACATCTAAACTATCCTATGTATTATTTTTAATTTAGCTTCTTTAAGCTAATGGAATGGTATTTGTGTGTGTATATATATGTGTGTGTGTATATATCTATAAATATACATAATTTTTGAAGGCAGCCATTTTTGTTTTATTTTATCTTAATATAGACTAGTGGCTGTCACCAACTAGCTCCTTATATTTGCATGGGACTCAATCTCTCTGCCCTCCAGACTCCTGGTATATAAAATGATGGTGCCAGGCTAAATTATCATTCAAATAAGAATGTCATACTATAATTATTACATATCATAAATCTTCATGCTACTCTGTACATCTTTGATTAAACTCAAACTGAAATAAGAATTTCTAAGCAACCTTACAGGACACCTAGACACTGAGAAAGAGTTGCTACCTGACAATGAAATTTGTTTAGCATTTGATGTTTTTGTTGTCATATGTGAGTCTCATCATCTACGAACTACTGTCATCTTTATTCTTCTTCTGTAGAGAAAATTCAGAGTTACCATTACTGTCCAAAAAGGTAATGGCCTAACAAGCTGTAGAGCCAGGACAAAGTCTTTCCCTCCATCCATCTACTGTAAGCAATCTTGAAATTATAAGGCAATTCCATTATTCAGAATGGAAACTCCTGGAAAATAGATTCTGCCTTTAGAACCTTCTAGCACCTCTACAGAGTATCCACTTGCGTCACTCCAGCTCTCTCTGCTTTTACAGACTAGTTGTTTTGTCAGCATGAGTGTGACAACAATTAGACGTCCCCTGTTTTTGCCCCATGCCTTTTCTCCTTCACAGTCATTCAATGACAAGCGTAAAAAGAGCTTCATCTTTTCACGAAAGTTCCCATTCTACAAGAACAAGGAGCAGAGTGAGCAGGAAACCAGTGATCCTGAACGTAAGTAGATTCTCAAAGATAATGTCACATGCAACACAAGAGAAAAAAAAAATCCTTCACGGGCAGCACGCATGCCATAGGCTCTCCCAACACCACACACCTAGGCAAGCAACACGGCAGGCAGGCAGGTCAGGTCTTACTACTGTGACCAGTGCTTGACCACAGTCTGGATCCTTTTGCATGGCTGTTCTTTGCAGAAAGCAATGGAGAGGGACTAACTGAAGTGCTGGCCTCACTTCCAGCCAACATTTCCTTGTGAGCAGGACGGGTCTAGTTTGTCTTTTCTGAAAACTCACACAACTCCCTAGGGCTTCGGACTAAGTTCTTCTTTTTTTTGGGGGGGGGAGGGTAGGGGGGGAACAGGGATGGGGAAAAAGGGAGAAATACTTAACCCTATTGCCATAAATATTTTTTTGGAATGCTACCTAATTAGGAGCAATTAGATGACCTTCCTTGTTTACCAGCACCTTTGCTGGTTCTTTTGCTCCCAGTAAACATCAAATATTTGCCAAGCAGTAAGCCGATACTGATAAATACTAAATCTCCGGATTTTGATACCAAATTTGGAGGAGATTATTCTTCTAAGTGAGACAGGTCAGTGGCAAAAAAGATAAAAGGAACTTAGCAAATCATGTTTTCTTTCTTTTTTTTTCTCCTTTTTTTGCTTTAATTGAACCTTTCAAGTTGATTCCCCAAATTAGACCTATTTTTTTAAGTCTCAGCCCAGGGAATTGAGGGTAAAAATCCTTTTCCAAAAGAGCCAGTGGGATCCAGATTGTCCGGGCAACACGGTCTGTCATGGTAGTATCCATTTCAACTCCACTGACTTCTTCCTTCCTCTCCCGTGGCTGTTCTTCCTCTCTCATTGCTCTCTCTGGGGACTTCCATGCAGGACATCCCCGGATTAGGTGACGACGGTTATGGAACAAAGACTCTGAGTAAGTTTCCAGGAATGGTCACTGTAACTTTTCTTTTTTTCTTTTCCTTTCCTTTTGAGTTTGGCTTTTGTCCCTTTTCCTGAGGGCCTTTCACTCCTAGCATGCACAAGATACAAGTTTTATTTGTTACCTAGCTGTGAATGCTCCTACAAAGTAATTTTCACTCGTTTTGTTCTGCATGTCAGCATTTAAAAGCGAAGTGTGTCAGGCACTCTAACCTGTGTTGCAGTTCACACCTTCCCTTTCTGACCACGTGAGGTGGCCAACATGGGCCCGATGCCCAGGTGGCACCGCTTGCTCTACTGCCTAACTGCTACCAGAGAGCAAGAAGCCATGTTGAAAGAAAGGGTGAGCTGAATGTTCTAGAACAGCAAAGTGGCAATATTCTTTATGTGCTTTCTGCTGCCTTTTCAACATGGAAACATTTAATGACCTTGCCAAATTCCATAATCGAGTTGTACTTTGCTATGAATATAGAAGCCATTTTATAATTTAATCAAAAGGAACATGCATTCTGAAAAATTAAGTCATTTGATCCTTCATGAATAATTCTTTCTTATTAACTTGATTGATCTTTTTTCTCTGACTTGCAGTGATCCTCCTTGAACCGTTTGTATGATAAAGTTTTCAGTATGTAGTAGTATCTTTTGCTGTCAGTGATTTATTAGCTGCAATACGTTATCAGGTCTGCATTTTGTAGGATAGAATGAAGACTATAATAGACTTTTACATTTTCTAGTTATTCAAGTCTTTGGTCTGTATCTCATTGCACTTGGCATTTAAAACTACTGAGCCTATATATCAATATCCTTTGATTTCATATTCTTTAACACTAATCCCATTGTGTAGGCATCAATGGAATCAGAACCGAATCTTGAACAGACTCTTGCAACTGTATCATGTGTTCAATTTTGTTTTACTTTAACAGCTCTGGGCAATCTTTTAAAAGCTGTTCATTTCATAATAGCATTGAGCTGGACTTCATTTTCAAGGGCTATTTATTTAAACTTGTGTGATGACACCTTTCATATTTCAAGTTGTAGATTTGAAGTGTTTTTTTACATATGTATACATAGGAAACAAAATCTGATGCTGAGTACTGGTCTCCTTAAAGATGAAAACTTTATCTTTGAGTCACTGGATAGAATGTGATATGAAATTATTCTTGTGGCTGAAATTTAAATACTAATTTGAATGCGATCTACCTGACATCAAGCATCACCAGGGAAATTTTGTAAATTTTCAAGTTGAAAAGGAAAAAGAATTTTAATACAAAATATTATTCATGGAAATCTGAAGAGATTTAGTCAGGGCCTCACCACCATAATCCTAGTTATTCAGGAAGCTGAGATTCAGAGAATTATGAGTTCAGAGACAACTCAGGCAGAAAAGTCAGAGACTCTAGCTCCAAAATAACCAGCAAAAAGTAGGCTAAAGGCATTGTTCAAGTCCCTGAGTTCAAACCTCATTATCACTAAAAACAAAAACAGAAGATTTAATACAAGTGAAAAACAGGCAGCAAATTATCCCCAATTCAATGTACATAAGATGATTTTGCCCATGAGATGCACTGGCATTAGTTCCATTGCCTCAACCATATTTCTCATGACAAAAAACAGGCATGCACAGATTCATCGACACGCTTTCTCCTGCTACTCAAATTAGCAGTGCAGTTCTGGCTCTAGACCTGCAGAAAGGAAAATGTTTTGTGTGAATTTAACTCAGGCTTTTGTTTCATTGGTTTTATGCTTGAAAACACTCAGTTGATGAGAACGCATAATCCCAAAGCATTTTCTTCTGTTAGGGAATAATGTTATGTCTATCTTTTTCTTAAAAAGTACATAAGAATTGTATTTTGGGACAGAGAATATGGCTTAGTGGTAGAATACTTGCCGAGCATGCATGAAGCCCTGGGTTCAAGTCCTCAGTACCATGTAAACAGAAAAAGCCAGAAGTGGCACTGTGGCTCAAGGGGCAGAGAGCTAGCCTTTAGCAAAAAGAAGCCCAGGGACTCAGTGCCCGGGCACTGAATTCAAGTGCCAGGACTGTCCAAATAATAATAATAATAATTGTATTTTGACAAATTGAAGTCTTTGCCAGTGACCTTCAGAAATCAGTCCCATGTACCTTTATTTTACTAAAGTAATATGTGAAGAAGGTGATTGAGTTAATTTATCATCTATGACTTCAGTAGTTCAGGTGACTTTGGAAATAAACCCTAAGTCTGGTACATAACCAGTGCACACATCCATGTTTCAGTAAGCGTTTGTATAAAAAATAATTTGGAATGTCACTAAACAAGCAAGTTACTCAGAATGAATTTTAAAAACTTGCTCCATGCCATTTCTCTCCTGTCTACTCCATTCCCTCAGGATCTAATAGCTATCTAAGCAAAGATCTCAATATATAAAAACATGACTGGCTCATGACTCATTTTCCTTCTATGATTTTCTACTCTCACTGAGGTAGGAAATAACTTCAAGAATCCCATTTCATCCTGAGAATCTGTGAAGTATTTAAATAGAAATAAAAATCCAAGGGGTTCCCAGGGCCAATTAACAATTTGAAATCAATGTTCCTACAAAATAAAGCCTGCAAGAAAATAGTACCAACACACCATAAGCTCCACAATTCAGCCTCAAGAAAACATTTAGTTAGAGACACACTGGCCTTTGTAACAAGAATCAGGAAAACCAGAGCTGATGAATGGGTAATAATAGTTCAAAAAAGAAAATTACATAAAAGTGTTGAGTGGCACTACTCACCACTTATTCGCTATAAGGAAGAAACAGAACTCTACTACAGTTTCTGGTTTAATGGTGATAAAGTTTTCATCTTTATCTTATCTGAAATTTCTTAATGCAATCTCTTCTGCAGCCTTTGACTCGCTTTTGCTCACATTTCTAGTAGCCTTGCATGGGTGTATTCCTTTCCGTTCTGGCTGCTCTTCAATGCTTGGTATTTTTTTTAATTTGCTGTGCTGTTCTTGCAGAACATGTTTCTTCTAATGCCAGCGATAGCGAAAGTAGCTACAGTAAGTTATTGCTTTGGTTTGCATTTCTTTTCTTTGCAATTACCCCCATTGCCTGTGGTGATCATCTCAGCCTTTTTGTTGTTGATGTTTCAATTGCTGCCTTTTACCATCCTTGTCCAAAGCAAATGGCTTGAAATAAAATGGACGTTTGATTCAGAAGGAGACAAAAGACCTTAAAGCTATCAATGGACCCTTTTGTGCAAAGAGTAGCCACCTTACTAATATTAATTCAAGCCTCAGCTGACTGTGGGCCAGATTCAATTTTCATAGGGAAGCTCAAGAAAAGTTCAGCATGGTAGATTTTAACATTCTACCTCCCAAAATCAATTTAACATCCTTGCAGGAAAAATGGAAAAGTCATCATGAATTTATGTCTTTCTCGTTTTGCCTTTTCCTTTCCCATTTCTAGTGCACATCCCCTGGAAAGTTTTTATAAATTACAGTGTTCTTTCAAAATCAGGAGGGGAAAGTCTTTCATATTGTTTTCTTCTTGCTTAATATTTTAAGCAGATACTACATTTATGTAGCTGACTTCATTTGGGACATGATTGGGGAAATGATGAAAATGTTTCTTCCTCTAATGTTAAAAGTATTCCCATGTTTATTTAAAAAAAAGATCAGAAAACTTAATTGAAAAGGTAGGTAACACCTTAAAAACAGTTTTTCTGATCTTTCTTTGGTCACTTCAAGCCATTTGTTTAGTGTATGGAAATATTCACCCAACATATCCTTTGGATCAGTTCTCATGGTTTCTTACCAGCTACTTTACTAGTTTGGGAATGTCTGATATACATATTATAATGAGGATCTTTACAAATTTGTAAATCATTAGTGAAATGATGTACCCAAAAAGCAATTGCCAAGAGTATTAGAAATCTGTAGGCCCAAAACAGCCACAGCAACAGAGACAGAAATTGTCTTTTTGTTTAAATAGTGTGTTGATTGACAAGTTACAGTATTTGAAATATTTTTCCTCTTTATGGCATAATATTTCACAAAAGTATGCCTTTTTGAGGTGGAGTGCCAAATAGTTTTAGTTAGAACATGGCAAATAGAACTGGTTTTTAAGAAAGACATTAGAGAATTTTATTGGTGGCAGATAGAAGAAAAAAAGCACAAGAAAGGAATGACAGCAGGAAAAGACAGGCCCAAGGAGGAAAAAGATACAGACCAAAGAATGAAAGAAGTCATGTGATGATGTGATACAAAACTGTATTTTACAATCACCGAAACTTCTTGTTCATGAAATCATTAGAAAGTGTTGGCATTATTACATTCTTCTTGCCCTTCCCCTTTTGTGGTTCAAAAAAGTGCCTTGCTCATTCTGCTCTTTTTAAATTTGGAAACCAGACCAAGAAGCATTGACCACTTCTTCGTCTTTCTGATGTCTTAGTCACCATCTGTTTAGTGTGAGGAAAGATGGAGCTAATCTGTTGTTTCATGAAGACCAATGACACTAACTTCTTCAGTGCTGTCTTCAAGTTTGAGTCTTTCTGTCTCCAGTGGATAGAAAGAATGCACTCACTGAAAATATCATGCCTTGTGCCCTAGTCATTCTTACAGAAGAACTACCTTGTCCTTTGGAAATTACACTTTTTACGAGTACTTTAGATGAGAGGATATTTTTCCAAAGTAATTATAAAAAATTGAGCCAACGTTTTTAACTGCTTGACAAGTCTTTGGAATAATGTGTCAGGATAACACCAAAAAGAATGCCTCTAAATTATCTATGAGAAGATTTGGGGCTAGATTCTATTACAGTTTGGGTTGCATCTGAAGTTACAGAAGATCAGACACTCAGATTTCCATTAGATTAACAAATGTCAAAACTCAGAATTAAAAAACAGTTCTGTCCAGACATAAATACAAGGAATTCCAGAGGAGCATTCATTGAATCATTTGGGGTCAGACCCCCTTCATAGGCACCATGAGCCCAGATGTAAATATAATTCTGGCTCTTATCTCACTTAAACATAAGTGAACAAATGTTGCCCAGTAGTAGAAGTCAGCTCAAGAATGATGAGAGCATCAGAACTAGTTTAGAAAGGAAGTGGCCTGTGAGCTGAGCTTTGGAAAAAGTAGGAAAAGCCTCACTTACCAGCTACACAAGAAAAGGAACTTTCTAGAAAGGGCAGTATCACAAGAAAAAACTCTGAGGCTTGGCACAGATATGTTGTCTAGAAAGTAGCAACTTTGAATTCAAAAATAGACTATATTTTCCTATAATTATGAGTGACTTTAGGTCTTATAAATCACTGTACAAATGCAAAAAGCCTCTCTTTTTTGCCAGTGTCCAGGTGTTTTATTTCACCTTTGGAACATTGCTTGTCCCCTCGGGGGAGACAAAATGGCTTAAAGAAGATGAATGATGAGCAGTTCCAGGTCACAATCCAGGGGCACCTTTCCCATTATGTCAGAGAATCACACATTGTATCAGCCCCACTTAAGTCTCACAGACACACACACACACACACATATGAATACAAACCTCAGCTTCTATCTGGTAGCTCAGACACCTGCTACACCATCTCCACCTTTATAATTTTTTTCTGAGTCCAATTAATTTGAGTAGCAGCTAAAATACACTTAACTATAGTGTACATTATCTAAACATGCAAAGTACCACTTCAACACTATCTTTGTGATCAGATAATTCCAGATTTCTATCAGTAGTCAAGTGCAGGTTAGAGTTGTGGCAGCTCTCTGTTAGACCTTTCAATCGCCCTTGTGTGAACATCAAGCAGGTATAATAGGGACCAGGCAGACCTCTAGAGTTGAAGAACTCTGCCTTCTTCAAGTTCAATAACAGTCTTTACCTATCATGCTACCTGAGAGCTGATGGCCATCTTTCTAATCCGCTTCTGTTCATCGATTAAGTGGAATTTTCAAAACAAGAATCTCGAGATAAGGAGATTGAGACTTCAGTGAACAAATATACATCGGTTTCCATCGTCTCTGCCTTATTCCACTCTTCTCGATTGTTGCCCTTGATGGCCTTTAGTTCCCCTCAACTTTCTCAGTACTGAAGTATAAACTCGGGGCATTGGGTTTGCTAAACAGAAGCATTACCACTAACATCATGCCCCCAGTCCTTTTTTGCATTAACAGGTTTTTGGACAGAGTCTCACATTTTTTTGGCCAACCTGGACTTTAACTTTGATCCTCCTAAATATGCCTCCCAAGTTACTGAGATCACAAGCATGAGCCACCACCACTCCTGGTTTATTGATTAAGAGGGAATCTCAATCTCACTAATGTTTCCCCATGCTGGCCTCAAACCATGATCTTTCTGTCAATTGTCACTCCAGTAGCTAGGGTTATAGATCTAAGCAACTACACTGAACTGCCTTTTTTATCTTTAGTCTTTATAAAGCAGTTTTTTTCATTGCATCTGTTACCTCACTTGGCTTCCACAATAAAACTGTTAAATATATAATCACTTTATATAGGAAGAAGTTAAAGCTTCATTCAAGAGACTACATAGCTCACTAATAAGCAATAATACTGCAATACCAATCCAGATCTTTTAATTCTGAGTCCTCTATAATTTTTGCTTTTCCCTGTGGCTTGTAATCCAAGGTTCTTTATGTGTGATCAAGTCCTTTGCAATCATCCAGTACTACCCATCAAACGAGTAACATTTTTATACAGTATTAGCTTTATACTGAGTCTAGTTCTAGGAGTTTATGTATATTAAGTAATTTATTTTTCATATTAAGTAATTTAATCTCTTGAACATCCTATAGAGACATTGAGATGCTAATTCACTCACCAAGTTATATTGAAAAAAATTACTCAGAAGCTTAGTTCTTATATAAAATGAGTATCTTGGAGTAGAACTGAGCTGGCAAGTAGATTTTAGTCAAGATTTCAACGCTCACCTCTAGACAGCAGCTGCCTGAAGAATTACATTGCAAAATGTTGTGAGACTCAGCAGTAATGCTGATAATGATTAGTTTATGGGCACAGAGTAAAGGAGCAACAACTTGTGCTCCATACTTAGTAGACATGAAGAACATAAACTCCAAATCCTCTCTTAATGCTAATATTCTATGATTCTAAAATCCTTATTTACCCCTTTGTGTGTGTGTGTGTGTGTGTGTGTGTGTGTGTGTGTGTGCCAGTACTGGGGCTTAAACCAAGGGCCTTGAGCTCTCCTTGGCTTTTATAATCAAGGCTGGCACTCTACCACTTTAACAACACCTCCACCACTGGCTTTTGGCTAGGTAATTGGAGATAAAAGAGTCTCATCAACTTTTCTGCCTGCACTGGCTTCAAACTGTGATCCTCAGATCTTATCTTCCTGAGTACCTAGGATTACAGGTGTAAGCTCCCAGTACCTGGCATACTTTACTCTTAACCATCCTATGCTGGTACTAAAAACTAAGTTGAGAAAAAGATTAAATGGACTATGGTCAGTCTTCACTTCCCTTCCCTCATTTTGTTCCGAAGAATTCCTAAAGAACAACAACTTGTTTTTCTCTATCCTGAAGACCTATTAGTGGATGTCTCACTGTGACAGGCTTCCAGTTCACACACAGTACTTCATGAAGGCTGTCACAAAGTTTTCTGCCAAATCTCATAATGCTCCCCTTCCAACCATGAAATTGCCAAAACTAGACCAAGAAAGAGTTTTGTACCTGTCACTTCTAAGTGCCAACCTCATCGGAGAAAAAAGAAAAAGTACTAAGGAACACTATTTTTATGAAAATGACACAGTAACATGCAGTCATACAGAAAGAGAGAAATGCAGGCATACAGAGAGAGAAACAGACAGAGAAGCTGGAACTTGAAGATAGAACACCTTGCAACCTCTCAGTGACTCTGGCCTGATTTTTGTCTATCATTCTTTGTTGACTTGCAAGCTCTCAGCCCCAGAGAATCCCACCACTCATTTTTGAGACAGCATAATATACTCAATAGAGGAGAAAACAAAAGAAAACAAACAATGTAGCTTTAAATCTTGACTATACTATTGACTAGCTAAGGAAGCAAACAAGCCTCATGAATATCTCTGAACCCCAACTTCTGCAACTGTAAACTGGGGTCACCAGCTTACCCTGCGAAAGACAAAAATAGAAGCCAAGGGCTGAGAGAAAAGACGTGCAAAGTGACATGTAGACATGGATTATCCTTCTTTGTTGTTGTCTTTATTTCCTTGCCATTACTCAGGGCATTTTTATTGAATCAGAAAATGAATTCACAACTATTATATAATGCCAACACTGCAGACTTACTGGCAAGTATATGGTTCCTATTTGCACAGGACAAATGCAGAATGCCACCCTTGCCCCACCAATAGCCTCATGTGAACCTGTGCCTTCTATATAGTACATAACCCCAAAAGGCAATGGATAAGCTTATTGATGAGTCCATAAAGCTATGGACTCAGAAAATTAAAGACTATGTTTTACCCTGACTTTTCTCAAACTTAAGGATTTCCTTTAGAACATCCCATCAGAATGATTTCCAACACTACCGGAAAGAGATTCCTACTGAAGCAGGAACATTTATTTAGAGAGAACTATATTTCCCAAGATGAAATGATCTCTATGATACAGAGCAGAACCTATCACTGGCCTTGTTACTCATCCCATTTTTCATGAATGAAATCAAAATGTGAGTTAATTGATATCTTTACATTAAGCCCTTGACGGAGCACCGGGGACACTGATGAATAAAACTTGGCCTTTGCCTCTATAGAATAGATTCAGATATCACCTAACCTTGAAGGTTTTGCTATTCTGTAATCACGATTCTTCTCTCATGGCCTACCATACATCTATTCCTAAAACTATACTTTCTCCCTAAGAGTTGAATATCTTATGAGTTCTACATATCTCCATCTTTAGATCACAAGAGGCTTAAAATCAATCACTAATTTTTTCAGTAGTTTATTCAGAAGGAATCATTCTCTTCCTGAATACAATTGAACTAGCTCAGCACAGACAAAACCTCTGCTTGGAAAAGGGAAAGTCTTTTGAACATTTTTTGATCAGTTATAAAATTAACTTGTTTTCCCTGTCCTGGTGCTATAAGGAAGCATCCCTCATTGACAGAGTAAAAAAAAAATGTATTCTGCAATGATGAGCAAAAGAAATGCAATTGTCATTTGGTTTCAGGAAAGACTATCTCATGGTCCATTCCTCCCACCCATCACCTCTAACAGATAGGACATCATTTTCAACAACCTTAACCTATTTTTTATACCAGAGAGTAGTCAATAAACACTAAACCTAAAGCAAATACAGGAACAGAGGCTTAGGGTTTGCCACTAAACTGAGGCAATCCTATGACCAATTAGTTAATCAAGTGGATAAAATAGAGGATTGAAAGAATAATTGTCAAAGTGCAATGTACTCTCTGCAGTTATGTGTTGGCTTAAGGCCTACCCTGAAGCAGATGTACAGCAAATAGGATGGAGGGAATGGACATTTTCTCCACAGTGTCTTCCTTAGTTCTCTCCCTCCTCTCTCTCTCTCTCTCTCTCTCTCTCTCTCTCTCTCTCTCTCTCTCTCTCTTTGAAGTTTCGAGCCATGGCTTATCAACAATAACTAATGATGCAGGGAACTCCTCTACATTTTTGGTAAGAGGTGGGTACTACAAGTTGAACCCTGGTTCTCACACGTACTGAGCACGTGGTGTGCCTTTGAGCTACGACCTCAGCCTCCTCTCGAGTTTTAATCTTCTTTCACTGACCTACAGCATTTCCTTGATGATTCAATATTACAGGAAATCCCTTAAGTATCCTGTAATATATTCTGAGGAATGTGATTGTCAAAATTAAGTACCTACTTCTTAGAGAAATAAAATCAAAAGACAGAAATTCTGATTAGATAGCAAGAAAGTGTCCAGTGGAGCCTTTCTTTGCACCAAATGACTTGACTTTAGGTGATAATGTGTGGCATAGAGGCATGGCACTCCATTTCTGGCATCAGATAGAAAGCCAGTCCCACAGATCACTGCTCTGTACAGAGAGTAGCAGCCAGTTATTACCTACAGCTATGACTATGTGATCACTTGACACCAAAATAGTGCTGGAGAGTTTTATGAAGATGAAGGGATTTTTTTTTGAATGGTTCAAGGAGACAGCAAGGAAAGTTAACCCTGAACTGTGCCTGTTGCCTATGTTTCAGAGCAGGAATGATAGCTGAAGCTAGTGACAGGTTGTTAGTCGACTGTAATTTTCTTTTCTTTTCTTCCTAGGAGGACAAGAAGACCTCATTCTTTCCTATGAGCCTGTCACAAGGCAGGAAAGTAAGTTTCTCAGCATACTCAGGTTTTTTTATTGTCAGGTCAAAACCCAGGTGATACTATTCGGGGAGGGGAAGCATGAAAGACTAGGGAAATAAACTCAGCTTGTTGTTCAGGTATATTGAGACCATACCCTGCTGTCTCTCTCTCTGACACTATCACCAGACAGTTTTTCTGCTGAGCAACTCCAAAGAGAATGGAACAGAGTTACAGTGGGGTGGGCTTGATGGGAAAGAAGACACCCTCATTACCGAATGGCCTAGCTGGAGGACTGATAAAGAAAAAATATCCTGGGAAATTACTAGCAGCCCAGGATTGAGAAAGATTTTCTAGTAGATGTGAGATACAGGCCACTCATAGGCGCTCTAGGACCCATAGCTTCTCCACCTCATTTATAATGGAGGCTTGAGGGCTACTGACAGGGAGATTACAGAAAAAATTCAAGCATCAGATGGGAAGTTGTACCAAAGGAGCTAACGTTACTCCTAATCCCAGACATAAAGGAAAATCCTAACAAAGACAATATTTTGAGCTGAGGGAAAGAAATGATTTTTTTTAAATGTCTTTACTACTAAGGATTACTTTTAAGCAGTGGCCAAACAGCTGGATTGAATTTCTTGTGCCCACTTAGTTGACTAAAGTCAGGGTTTTTGACATAGTGCAGGCACGGCCTGGCAATGAGGGAAACACCACCACCTGGGACTTTTGACAGAGGCTGAAGTCGCTCTTCCCATTAGTACATTTCAAGAAGTAGCAAGTCCACATCCCCAGGTTTAAAAGGCCCATTTCAGGGCTACAGGGGTATGTTCTTACTGCTTGGTGATCTGTCCTTCAGAACCACCCTTGCAAGGAATAGGGTACAAATGGAGAGAGGAAGGGTGGGTGAATACAGTCATCAGACTCAATGTACATACATGAAAATGGAGCCAGTTAACTTGAGGGGATGGGTGAGGTTGGGAGACATGAGAGAATGATGGAAGAGGTAACAGACCAAGATACAGCCTGCACATAAACTGACATGTTGAATTGAAACCCCAGAGTACAACTGCTTACAGATATTTTTTTTAAGAACCATCCTTGCTAGGCAGTATAGAAGTTGTTTCCAAGTCTCTCTCCCTCAGCCGCACCTTTTTTTCTGTATTCACAGTAAACTATACTCGGCCAGTGATTATTCTGGGCCCCATGAAGGATCGAATCAACGATGACTTGATATCTGAATTCCCTGACAAATTTGGCTCCTGTGTGCCTCGTAAGTATCTTTTTTTTTTTCCTTTAGAGAAAAGCTTGACTCCATGATGAGATGATAAAAATGGAATTTCTGCTGCTTCAAATACTACTAGTTATTATCTCAGTACCTTATGTAATTGTTCAACCTCATACTTTTTGTTTATGCTGTCACAGATGGTTCGGTATTTGCTAAGTATAACAAGGTTTTCTCTGAACTGATTGTAGTCCCGTAGAAGACAGAACTCCCTAACACTTCAGACAGTTATGAGATTTATAAAAGGCATCAGCATGGCCCTACAGCTTGACTGTAAGGGCAGCAAAGCATCTTTTGCCATCGAGTGGGAGAGATCACAAGTGCTACACATCAGCCAGGCACTGGTAGCTCACACCTGTAATCCTAACTACTCAGGAGGATGAGATCTGCGGAGAGCAGTTTGAAACCAGCCAGGGCAGGAAACTCTGTGAGACTCTTATCTCTAATGAACCACTAGAAAACTGAAAGTAGAGGGTCATGGGAGGAGGAGAGGATATGTATGAAACTTTACTCTCTAGGTCCCTATAGACAAGCATCAGGTCCCCGTCATCTGTGTCCTATTTAAGATAGCACCGTAGGATTCTGTCTGTTGTCCCTCTCTCCCTGCCATCACCACCAGCCCCGTTCACTTACTAACCTCAGGCATACACAGAGCCCATCTATATACTGAGACAAGCTCTCCAGGAAGCTGCCTCATGTTCATAATGAACTCTTAAATCTGACAAATGTTTCTCACACTGAATATTTTTAGGGTTTATAGTTTCAGATGTCTGTAATATTTCAATACTACAAATTTCAGCATAGACTTCTAAAGAATAGCAGGAATTATTTGTGTGGTGCCTGGATAAGATGATTGGAATGATGGCTCAGATAATGGTGTAGTCCCCACAAGGGCTGACATAGAACATATCCTGTACATAAGAAGGTGCAAATTAAATATGCATAACCTGGTTTACAAAGAGCTTCTAGTTTGGTTTTTCACTTATGAGAGAAAGAAAACAGAAATTTTTTAACCACTGTTCTCCCTTTCCCTTCCATCTTGCCTGTTCTTTCCTTTTTCTTTTTTTTAATTAATAGTACTATTTTATGTAATCAATATATGCTCATAGTTAAACAAGAAATTGGAAAGTACACAGAATCCTACACATGACCCAGAAATAACATCACAGAAAGAATAATTTCTTGTTGCTTTCCATCTACTTACTTCCAAGGCATATGTTTTTTCAAGGTGACTGATTTTTTTTCTTAACACTTAAAATTTTTGCTGTGTTAAATAATTATAACTAATCACTCTTCATCTACATAGGTATTTTAGATATTTACTATTCTTATTACTATGAGTTCTGAACTTAGTCATGTTATAATTTCCTCTTATTAATAGAATAAACATCTGAGATAAAAATATCTGGAGATTTGGTCATTTTAAGATGTCTTAAGAAGCAACTGAATGGAAGATCAGAAATTACTTTTTCCAGTCATATTGCTAGACTACATTCCCTTTCTCTTTTCTTTCTTTTTTTTTTTTGGTTAGTCATGGGGCTTGTACTCTGGGCCTGGGCACTGTTCCTCAGCTCTTTAGCTCAATGTTAGAGCTCTACCACTAGAGCCACAGTGCCACTCCAGTTTTCTGTTGGTTAATTAGAGGTAAGAGTTTCACAGATGCTCTTTCCTGGACTGGCTTTGAACCATGATCCTCAGATCTCAACCTCCTGAGTAGCTAGGATTACAGGCGTGAGCCACCAGCACCCAGCTCCCCTTCTCTTCTTAACCATACATTTACATGAATTTTTTTATATTGGAAGTATTTCACTCTAAATAAGTAAAATACTGTACTTATTTTTAAGCGCATAAATATATTTAAAAATTGTATACCCATTCTTTCTCCTGATTGTGTAACATTGTCTTTTTTTGTTTTCTTCTTTTTTGCTGTCTTTTTTTGTTTTCTTCTTTTTTTTATATTGTGCTAAACACCTAAACACTATAGTGATAGATAGATAGGTAGATAGATAGAGAGATAGATAGATAGATAGATAGATAGATAGATAGATAGATAGATAGATAGATAGATAGATAGATAGATGTAGAGTGTTGAGATAAGATCTCACTATATAACTTAGGCTGACCTTGAACTCACGAACCTCTTGCCTCCATCTCTCCAATGCTAGGATTTTCAAGCATGAACCACTATGCATTTAGAGTCTAGATTTTTATCTTCCTTCGTAGAATATGTTTATCCTAATAAGCAATGATTTACTGACAGACTAACTTGATTAAATTGTGATTTGGTCTTAAGACTCTTTACAGATGAATGCAGAGTTAAGTCCAAAGTAGCTTCTAAAATGGGGTCTTTCTGGAATCTTAATCAAATGCCTTATTCTGGCTAAACACCAATGTTTCCTAATACTGTGTAACCTCTAGATTCTCTTTTTGGAAATATCTCCTAGGTAGAAAGATTAATGTAGCAGAATCCCCCCCCCATTTGTTTTCTCTTAAAATTATAGCTATGAATTATGTGTTGGTGGCTCATGCCTGTAATCCTAGCAACTCAGGAAGCTTAGCTCTCAGGATCACCATTGGAAGCCAGCCTGGGCAGTGAGACTGTTATCCCCAATTAACTACAAAAAACAGGAAGTGGCTCTGTGGCTCAAAATGGTAGAGCACTAGCCTTGAGCAGAAAAGTCCAGGGACAGCGCCCAGACCCTGAGTTCAAGCCCTATGACATACACACACACATACACACACACACACACACACACACACACACACACATATAGCTATTTATACATAGCTATATATAGGTGATGCATGCCTAGAATCCCAGCACAGTTTGTAAGTTTCAGGCCAGCTTGGGCTACATAGTGAGACCTCATCTCAAGAATCCTAAACAAAGTTACAGCTATGCCCTGCATTCTGATACCTGAGCAAGAATTGTTCTTCCTGTTTTGTCCCTATTTATAGTCATTTATGTGGGAAGATAAGACTGGCACGTGTTACTACTATATCTGTGTTGGGAGTGTGGTAAAGAAATTAAGTAGAAAGAAAAGAGTGTGAGATACATTTCATTATTTCTCATTTTACAGATACTACAAGGCCAAAGCGTGACTACGAGGTGGACGGGAGAGACTATCACTTTGTCATCTCCAGAGAACAAATGGAGAAAGATATCCAAGAGCACAAATTTATAGAAGCTGGGCAGTACAATGACAATTTGTATGGAACTAGTGTGCAGTCTGTGAGATTTGTAGCTGAGAGGGTACGTTTGCAATTTTTTACAACCCCCCTAAAGAAGGCTTCTAGGTGGCAATCCACAGGTTGGTTTTTTTGTCATTACTATTTTCTGATTGCAGTTGTGAAATTGAATTAAATATTTCTTTTAAGATATCCATGCAGAGAATCACTTTAGAACAATATCATTCATCTTTGATCCCACTAAAGTATTTTGGCTGACTTGGGGCAGGGACATGGAGTAGTTCCACAAACCTTAAGACAGCCTGAGCTTTATGGAGCTCACCTTGTCCTTGACATGCTAAGACCCTTGTAAGTAAAATTATAATGAATAGGGAAGCTTTGTTATTGTGGGTGGTCTAGACGGTGGAAAATATGAACTTTTCTTTTGAACACTTCACATTGTGGAAGATGGTTGTCTAGTCTGTTGTTGACAAAAAAAAAAAAAGTTCTGACTTAGAGGAAGCATTGATACTCTCACTTTTTCCTGACAATTTCAGAAACATGAAAAAAGGAAATGTTTGAGAACCGAATCAGATGATACTTGAATGTGGCTTTAAGATCTGTATACAGAGAAATCCTATCCCCTATAAAGACATATGCCAGTTTTATATGAGAAAGTATCAGTTGGAGTGAAATGATTTGATGGGACCCTTTTCCCCTTTTGATATACTGATGTAAAATTTTTCACAAGAAATTTTGCTGAGAGGAAATGAGGGCTGAAGGAGAGCACTCATCTCCTTCACAAAGAACCAAAGTAACAGGTATAAAGCTACATTTTGAGGTGCAAATACTGAAAATCAGCAAGAGAAAGGGGGGAACCTTGTGAGATTCAGAGACCTGGGACAATAGCATAGAAAGAAAATAAAACAGCACAGCACCTGCAGCTCCACATTTAGCCAATGAGAGTCTTACCCTTGTAGTGGTAAGGGTGAAAGAACTTTCCAGTAAACTCTAGCTGTGTAGATTCTGGGATTCCAGCTAATAGAAAAAAAATCCTAACTCTTCAAAGGATTGCAGCCCAATTGGATAAATAACCTGAAGTCAGCACCGTAGCCTGGCTCTCTCCCAGAGAACCTCCAGGATACTATAGTCAGGATCCATCCAGGGATGTGGACTGTTGTGTGAATTTGGACTGACCAAGACATTGGATAACCCACCATATTTCCATGTCTGAGACCCCACTGACCTTCCCCTGCACTGGTTTCACGGAGGGGAGCTAACCCAACTTGGCCCAACAGAGTGATTGTGACCTAAACCTACAGGATGTCCTGCAGTGTGAGAACTGGTGTTTAGACATATAGATCGTACAGAAGTGGGGAACACCACAGCTCCCACTGCTGCTCCATACTGAGGGGCCCTGAACAGTTCGGTGGTGCCAGCTGTTATGAGGCCCCTGTGCAGGAGTGGCTGGGGAATATGAAGAACAACTTGCACTGGCCCTGTTCCATCCTACTTCTTCCCTCCTGGCAAGAGTAGAGAGGTGAGACGAGCCTCCTCTTTTCCCTCACCTAAAGGACACACACACATGCCAAAGGGCCTCCATTCCCTCCAGAGGAACTTTGGCTTGCCCTTGCAAATGTCCTATTCCTGGGCAGGGCAGGCGCTACCACTAAAGCAGAGGAGAGGAACTTCCCCCTGCTGCACTGTAACACTGCTCTTCATTGCTGGCTGTGAGTACCGCAAGGGGAGGAGGGGGGTTGCTCAGCCACCCACAGACCCAGACCAATAATTGGTCAGAAGACAAGTGCATCCAACTCCTCACCACTTCAGGGGCAACCAAAGGCAGAGGTGGTGGCTAGTCATGGAACTGGCATCACTAACAGAGACCACTATTCCTCGTGTAGCAAGTAGACACAGTGAGCCTCTCATACACATTGTTACCTGCCCCACACCTACTTGGACTGCTATCATCTCCCCCACTCTAGTGTGGCCTACAGCAACAAATGTGACTCCATGGTACACGCTGTGCCCACAAGCTTGAATCACAGCAACAGAAGCTCTAGGGAGACTACACTAAGTTGCCGCCTTAAAATGAAAGCCAACATTGCACACCCACCTGACACCCAAGGCCCTCTTCAGGAAAATGCTGCTTAGGAAAGCCACCCTGTAGTACTGGTAGAGATACCTCATCTTTCAAATGTGCATACCTCAACATAAGAGAACAAGAAATATGAAAAACCAAAGTAATACCATGCTTCCAGAAGAACAAAATAATTCTTTAGCAATAGATCTTCCCTAAAATGAAAATGAATCATAAAAGTTTTGAATAATACAAATCTCAGCTGGGCACCAGTGGCTCATGCCTGTAATCCTAGCTACTAAGGAGGCTGAGATCTGAGGATCACGGTTCAAAGCCAGTCCGAGCAGAAAAGTCCATGGACTCTTATCTCCAATAAACCACTAGAAAACCAGAAGTGGCTCTGTGGCTCACGCGGTAGAGCACTCGCCTTGAGCTGAAGAGCGCAGGGACAGCGCCCAAGCCCAGAGTTCAAGCCCCACGACCGACAAAAAAAAAAAGAATAATACAAATCTCATTGAGATGCCAGAGTACTGATAAACAGTAAAATGAAATTAGGCATATAAGGGAGAAATTCAGCAGATATTCTGAAAAAAAAAAAACAGAAATTTAGAAAATGAAGACTTCAATAAGTCAAACAAAAAAAATCAAGTGAAAGCTTATTTATCCGCTCTAGAATGAACACCACTACTTTATCAATACAAGACCATGCAGAGGGTCAAAAATAAAAAATATCAGTATTAAGCTATATTTTAAATCAAATAGAGTTTATAGAATATTCCATGCAAAAACTGCTGAGTATACATTCTTTTCATCAGCATATGAAACTTTATCTAGAAAAGACTACATTTTAGGCACAAATTAGGTTCTAACAAATTCAAAAAAATGAAATCAAAACCCCTATATGTTCTGATTGTACAATGAGATAAAACTGGAAGTAAACAAAATAAATTTTATAAATTATAAATATGAGGCTCCACACTTTTGAATGAACAGTGGGTCATGCAAATATAAGAATTCTCAGAAACAAAGGACAATAGAAGCACTTTTATCAAAAGTTGTAGAATGTAGAAAAATAGTACTAAGAAGGAACTTATAGCAATAAATACCTAGATCAAAAAAGATAAATACTTCAAATAAGCAACCTAATGATACATCAAAAACTTAGAAACAAGAACAAACCAATCCCAAAATTAAAATGAAAGCATAAACTAAGATCAGAGTAGAAATACATGATATAGAAACTATGAAAAACAACAGTAAAATAAAAGGGTTGGTTCTTTTTTTAAGATAAAATTCACTAACCAGGAAAAATAGATAAGACCCAAATAATCAGAATATCAAATATAACACATATCAAAGAAATACAAAGGAACATTGTAGATGCTAATAAGTTGGAAAACCTGGGAGATATGAACAAATTTCTGGGCAAAATAAGCTATCAAAACTAAACAATGAGAATATAAAAGGTTCTGAATGCATCAATCCCAATTACACTATATTAGTAATTTTTTAAAAAAAGGAAAATCAAAATCAGTGACTTTACTGCTGAATTTTATCAAACTTACAGTATTACCAATCCTTCTTAGACTTTTCCACAGAAGTGACTGGGAGTGATCCTTCCAAATCCATCCTATGAAACTAGTATTATTCCATTCCCAAACCATACAAGAATGCAACAAAAAGAAATTTTTGACCAATATGCCTGACAAATATAGATGCAAAGATTCAGTAAAGCACTAGCACAAAGCCCAGACATGGGAATACATGCATATAATCTCAGCTACTTGAGAAGCTAAGCGGGAGGATCACTTAAGCCCTCAAGGTCAGGGCAAACATAGATTACCATGCACTATGTTCACTGGTCTAAAAAAATAAATAAAAGGCTTGGTTGCCAATAACTCACGCCTGTAATCCCAGCTACTCAGGAGGCAGAGATCTGAGTATGGCAGTTGAAAGCCAGCCTCTGCAGGAAAGTCCATGAGATTCTTTTCTCCACCCCAGAGCTGTCGCTCAAGTGGTAGAGCACTAGCCTTGATGAAAATAGGGTTAGCACCCAGACCCTGAATTCAAGCCCTAGGACCAGCACCAAAAGAAACTAGCAATAAATTCAGCAGTGCCTCAAAACATATTAAGTTGGTTTCATACCGTGGATACAAGGATGGTTCAACATATACAAATCAATAGACATAAAACATCACGTGACAAAATGAAGGGTAAAATCACTTGATTATCTCAAATGTAGAAAATACATTTGATAAAATTAAATTTCCCTTCATAATAAAATCACTGAATAAAAGACCCTACTTCAAAATATGACAAACTAATAGCCAAAATCATACTGTGGTTAAAAAAAAATGAAAGCATTTCTTCTGAGATCAGGAGCAAGACACACATGTCCACTTAAGTTTCAACCAGAGCAATTAAGCAAGAGAAGTAAAAGACACAAGTAGTAATTAAGACAGTCAAATTATCCTATTTTTACGTTGTCGGACTCTTTTATTGCATTATTGTTATTATAGAGGTGATGTACAGAGGCGTTACAATTACACAAGTCAGATTCGAAGTACATGTCCTTTGATACAGTGTCCTCTGTTCCCTCATTCTTTCTGGGTCCCTCCTTCCCGTCTCCACCCACAAGTTGTACAGTTCACTTTCAGCAGTGTCCAGTGAGCTCCACTGCTGCACTTTTCCCCCTCGAGTTCTGTATTCTCCTCCAACTTTCCTAAAGATGTTCTCTCACATATACCATACGTAAGGTAAAGAAGCCAGAATCAACAAAAACTAAAAGCTAAAAAAAAAAAAGAGAAGTCTTTTGTTTCCATATCTTGGAGTTCATTTCATGAAATATGCATATTATTTTATATAAATGTGAAGAGGTGCTTAGGATAGAAATACAAAGGCTCAATGCCTAAGAGTATCCTCACTGTGTGTATCTAGAATCCTGCATAATTTATCCTAGCCCGGTGCATTTTAGATCTAATTTCTGCATATCAAAGGGAACATGT